GACAAAAAAAGTGAAAAAATGGTTCCTGATCAAATTATAAGATAAGTTTTCTTTCCTTGATCAATGTGCATGATATTGTATTTCGTATGTATAGAAAATGTATATTAGTTGGAGAGAATGATTTTGTTATATTCATATATGGTACTGATATAGATGAAGTTATTATTGTGTCTTCCATAATTGACATATTTCTCTCGTCATGGAGAGACACTAAGAAAACTCTAAAACTCTAAAGCATAAGAAAAAAAAGATATTTCTTAAGTATCTTGGTAATCAGCTTAGAATAAAAGAAGATTATTGCAACCAAGATGAAGTCACAAACAAGATAAAAAGGATAAAGATCCCAAAGTAAACCATCTTGAGTTGATGAAAGTCTATATAATGGAAGACCGAATGTACGGACATGTGGCAGAACAAATTTAATAGATGACCAATCGCACCCAAGTAAGAAAAATTTGGTGATGACTCCCTTAGTTATCCACGTCTAGCAGTCAGGTTCTCGGACCCATATGTTATGACAACTAGGTAACTCCCTTGGGGACGAAAGAGGGTCAAGCCATAATTAATCATAGGTTATCTTAAGCCGTAAATAATTTAGTGTTTCCTTTAAATTTGAGCATTTGTTTTATGCATTATAGTTTTGTGCATTAATTGTTTTATTGTTATTGTTTTATTATTTTTTAATTATGGGAAATTTAGGGTTGAGGGATGTGAGATTGTCCATCAAAAGTTGGTACGTTCCTTCACACACACATCACATGTAGCATTCATGCATAAGCCTTTTACATGGGCTTTGTCTTTTCTTAGGAGAGAGTTTAGTAGCTACGTTCTCGTGAAGTGATAACCTCCACATGGGTTAGTGAACACTCCCACTCAAATTGAACCTAGTCCATTCGAAGCTTGTAATGGGTAATGATCAAGATGCCTTACTAGTTCGACTGGACAACAGTGAGGAACAATTTAAAAACTTTTAGCTTTATTTAAAACCAAACGTAACATATAGAGTATCGTAAGTATCTTTTCCCTAGGTAGAGTTGCACTCGTGCGTTAAAGAGTATGACCTTGAATTAGACACATATGAAAGAACTCTTTTTACACCCTCTACTTTAAATTCCTCACCAAAAATAATAAAAATCATTGAGTAGATTATGTCCAACGACGTGATAAATACCTATGGCAATAGTTATCGTTTTTATTTCTAATGCAAGTTAATTTAATTCATTGTACTAACTTGAATATTCTTTCTCTTTCTTTCATTTGTCATGCACCCATTTGCATCCATCCTATTTCATATAGGGAAATATTAGCTATACAAGAACTATTGACTAAAGGAATCTTGATTACATCTATGGCATCGTCATCGGCTAACTCACTCAATAAGTATAGGAATGGCTATGAGGTCGACCTACAAATGAGACAAGCTCAACAAGACAAAGGGGATTGTTTGGCCAAGGGGCATATCCCGACTCTCTCAGAAAAGGTTCATCTTAATATCAAACAAAATGACTTTTCACAGATGAAAGATATTTAGGAGCAATGGAAGCACAATAGTTGAGACAGTTTCTGCAACAAGTATGGGCACATCACATGGCTTCTATATGTACATGTTGGCGATCAGTTACTTAAGGCAATTACTCAGTTTTAAGATCTTTTTTATCGGTGTTTCATGTTCAATGAAGTAGATATGACACCGACAATAAAGGAGTATTCACCATTGCTTCATATAAACCAAATGCAACTCGACAAGGTATATTGGAGAGCTAAAAAAAAGGGCATCAGAGGACACTGGCTAAGTTGTTAGATGTCACCATTGAAGAGGTTGATCAAAACTTGAGGAAAAAAAGAGCTACTGAGTGCCTTTCATGGAGTTTCTTGAATAATTATGTTAAGAAACACAAGGAAGACAAACAAAGTCATCTTGTCTTTGCCTTGACAATATATGGGTGGTGGTTTTCTTAAAAATCCTAGGATACGTTGAAGTCTCAATCATAGATTTCTTTGACCAAGTAACCAGGAACATCAACCCTACTCTTGCCATCATAGCCGAAACATTGAGGTATTAGAACTATTGCTATCGGAAGGATGAAGGGTGTTTAATTAAGTGTGCCTAACTTCTCACCATATGGATAAAGAGCCATTTTGAGTGCAAGGTTGATAGATTCTGAAAGTCGTTCCTCTCATCAAGTTGTCCTTTAAGAAAGTACACTCAATAAAAGGTTTTCGTTTTGCATTATCTCGATTTTATGCCATACATTTTACAATTGCATCATGTGCACGTCACACCAGTAAAATCAAATAAAATATTTTAATTTGTTAATAGAATAAAAGATAAAATAAATAAATAAATAATAATTAAAAAACATAAAAATAAAATCAATGGGTTAGGAAAGCATATGATTAAATGGTATCGTTTGTGGGACGAGTGTAATGAGAATACTAATCCTTTCTTATACGTAATCGTACTCCCGAACCCAACTCTAAATAAAATATGTAGATCAATTTGTTGCTTTTTAGATGGACTTAAAGTCGATTTAGAATGCAGTTGAATAGAACAAATTTAATAGGTGACCAATCGCACCTAAGTAAAAAAATATTATTGGTGACTCCTTAAGTTATCCATGTCTAGTGGTCGAGTTCCCATACCTACACGATACAACATAAACCAAACGAATTAAAATTTAATAAGGAAATGGTATTGGGTTGGTAAGCCCACAAACAATAAAAGTAAGGCAAAAACACATAAACAAAGATCAAACAAATAAAAAATTTTGACAAAAAACTAACAAAAAAGGAGGGAAAAATTAAAAGAAAAAAGATTAATAAAAAAAGGAAAAAGATCAATGGAATCCCTAAAATCATCTCACAAATCGAAAAATTTTATACAAAAAAGTCCTCCCACGAAATAAAATAAAATCTAGAAAATAAAATCAAAGATTCACAATTAAATCAAGATTCCAAAAAAACACCTATAAAAACCCAAAGAAAACACAGCAACAGGGGAGAAGAAAAAGAAAAAATTTATAGAAGGTAAGTGAGCAAAAAAGGTGTTCTGG